TTTACATCTTTTGCATCAATATCCTTACAAGATGATAACTTGTGTATATTACTAATTAGTATCGTCTATTTTTGCACATGTACTCATTTGCTCACCAAGTATTATCATGATGTGACATCAATGTAATACTTTCAGGAAATTGACAAATGAGCTTTGGGATCTGGTTGAAAGGGAAAAGAATACCCAACAGACTGTTCACACAAGTCTTGACAAAAAAAATTCAGAGAAAAGGAATATGTATGTACTTACGATTCACTATAATGTTTGAAGAGCAGAAATGATTGGTCAACATATTATGATGGGATGGATATCCAAAATAAATGACTACAGAAACACCTTTGCACACATGTGATATTGAATCAGAGATGATTGCTAGAGTCAGGGTCAATATTAATGTTTAGCAAATAGGTGACATTAAATAAAGTAGAAAAATGACTGACACTGAGTTTTTAAATATTTCCATTTTACAGATGAAGGTGACAACAAATATGAACTTGTGTATTTAACACAAAAGCATGCAGTCTTTACCAGTAAGAATGTGGATAGAGCCGGCACAGAAACAAACTTGATTTTTGTTCTTGGTAAGAATGGTAGTGGATTATCTGAAAATGTAGCAAAAGTATCACTCTGCAAAAGAGGATTCAGGCAGATTCAGCCCCAAATACAGTATCATGGAATTTCTGAATTCCTGTCCACTAAATGACAATCCTATTGTTGTGTGGACCAACTCTTACATTATATTGTAATTCAAGTAGAATGGTCATTGACGACTAGTGGCAAGGGGTGAGGCTATTGGAAGATGTAGTCTTCATGTTTCCTCATTAGAAAGAGTAGAGGAAATATTGTTTTCCTAAAGTTCAGACCATTATGAATATCATTTGATCAAGTGTGTATGAGATTAAAACATGAACTCTCGAGTATAGACTCAGGAGAAATGTGAAGGTTCCATTGAGAGGCATTCATGACTCCCTAGTGTTATGTTTTTAAAAGTGGATAGGGTTGAGATGTGCGAATTCTCTAGAGTTTTTATTTTGATGCATCATAGAACACTGGAAAGTATGTCTTACCACCATTTAGACTTCATTAAATGGAACATGGGGAAATTATTATTGATTGTATTGACCCTCTCAGCATAGATGAATTTGGAGAAGTTGAGATTTTTTTGTTGCATACCATGGTGGGACACTAAGGAAGCAATGCAAGTTTTATAGAATTCTACCGAATATGTCTCTGACATTGTCATTCATGCAATGTAGGAAAGGATGTGCCTTTAAATGAAGAAGAACATGAAAAACTTATGAAATTTGCTGAGAAACAGAACATTCCAGCAGAAAACATTCAAGATGTTCAGGCTACAGGTAACGTCAATGAAATATTTTCGGCTATATCATATATATATATATATATATATATATATATATATATATATATATATGTGTGTGTGTGTGTGTGTGTGTGTGTGTGTGTGTATGTGTGTGTTTATTCACATATATTAATAAATATATGTATGCATGCATATAGAGTTTAACTCATATGTATGTATGTATGTATGTATCTACCTATATATCATCTATGTACTCAGTTAACCCCCTCATTCAGATTGTATCTACTTATATGCTATCTTTCAATTGTTATTGAAGAAATAATCATTGGCGAGCTGTTCTTATATTCTTATGATAACATTTCTGTCTCTCCTTACACCATTCACATTCTTTTACAGATACTTGTCCCAAGTAAAGACCTTCTGTAGGTGAGTACAAACAGAAGCCATGGTTATTCATGTTGATATTTGTATGTATTTGTGCTTATTACATAAAAAATTAGAAGTAAGTATGTGAAAGGAAAACAATGAACTCAAAATTAGACAAAATCAGGACAGAATATTATCTGTCATTTAAAGCTGAAAATCTTAGTGTCAAAAGTAAAGGATAGAATATTTTTATTCATATGAAGGACTTTTATCTTATTCAGAATTACTAATACATTCATATTGTATAATATTGGATCAAGAAAAGTGTCTTGTCATTTGAAAATTCTTAGTTTACTTATGATTATGGAATATTATTTGCCACAGATATGGTACAAGCATGCTGATCTTTTCTATGTATTCTTTGAATCCTCTCAATGTCAACTTTCATGTGAGGCCACAGAATACCATTATTTCCTGTTCACAGTGCTCCAATGGAATCCAAAGTATAAAGTACTTGTGGTTTCTAGGAAAGGAACTGTTTGTTTATAATCCCTTTTCTATACTCTATATTGTTATATTTAATTTTGTGTTCATGCACTCTCTAGGATGAAATCTTTCCTGCCCTTTCAACTATGTTTTCATATTTGCTTTCATGTTTGCACAGAGGACAACCGGATGACAATTATGGTCATATCCTCTTGACCACGGAATCAGTATCACATATAAATCACCATTTCTTTCTGAATGAATTGTCCCCTCTCCTGTGAAGTCAGCATAATACATATCGAATTCCTGACTTATCTCTCCTTTCCATTCTCATGATCTATGAGCTGTTCCTACTTTTCTGAATGATTAAATAAAGCATTTCAAGAAGCAATAAAGACCGTGTGAAAATGATCTCATTCAAAAAGCACATAAATATCCACTAATCTAATTAAAATAATCATTCTGGTATAACAAATGATATCTGTATTACTAAAAACTATTGTAATAGTTGGAAATGTCACAATTACTGGAGCCACGGGCAAGAACACTGCAGAAGTGAATTTTATGTTGTGCTTCATATTTACTCTTTCAGTTGTAAATTGTGACTTGTGGTTGAGTGGTCCTAACAAACTAAAAGGTTTCATATAACAAACTCTTTGTGTTTACCTTTGAGTTCCACATTATTTAAAAGAGAGGATGAAATCAGTTTTCAAAAGTACATCTGAAGAGATTATCTTTTGTTAAATGACTTCAGTAAGCAAATGAATCTGGATATGCTTTACTAGGGTGCACATGAGTCATTTACATTTGAAGAATAGAGTAAATTCATGAGAAGTATATTCCATAGATATGAAGCCCTACAAATATGAATGTAAATATTACAATGTTCGGTTTGTATTACAATGCTTCCTTAGAATGCAGTTAGCTATCAAGATAGAAAAGGCAGATGACATTTTTTAAAAGGGCTTGGAACAAGGAAAAAGAAAGATCTTAGACTGTGTTGCTAGATCCAATCTCCTGAAGTGTAAAGATATAACAGATGCAAATTACATTCAATATTTAATAGCAAAAGATATAAATAAGGAACAATAATATATTTTTTTGTTGAAAAAAACCCATTTATTTAACCTTTCTCTGTGTGGCAAGTTAAACAATGTCACTCTAGAAAACATACTTGAGTAATATTCTTTGAAAATTGTGTATATTCAATGTACATTTACATAATTTTCATATGGTGCCCATAGTGGTAAAAATCCTTAAAAACCTACTAGAAAAATGAATACATGCCCATATCAAGGAGATCAACCACAATGATTAAAGATTCTTTATTACAGACATACAGGCTTGGTTGAACATACAGAATTCTATAAATACCAAATGTCATAAAATGTACTCAAGGCAACAAAAACAGGATTAACTCAATGGTGAAAATAAAGCCTTAGCATATCTCATGCTTTATAAATAGAACTCCCAGAGAGAAGAGTAACAGAGGGAACATATTTTAATATATTAAAAGCTATCTCTGACAAACTAACTTGCCAACACCATCCTATATGTAGAAATACTGCATAGAAACCTACTGAAATCTTGAAGAACACAGGGTGCCCACTATCCCCTTTACAATGTTGTGTTGGAGGTATTACACTGAGCAATACAGGAAGAGAAGGAAATTGAAAGCATACATCTATGAAAAGATGAACTTACATTATCCCAAACTTCAGGTGACACACTATTATACCTAAGATATAGGCAAATTGTACCAGATCACAAGTAGTAGAATAAACAATTTAAACAACATGACAAGGAGAGAATAAGTTTACAATAATCAACACCCTTTCTGTATTCCAACAACAAAGCCACCTTAGGAAGACATTATGGACAGAATCCCATTTAAAATAGCATCTTTCTTTAAAAGAAAATATCTTGGGTGCTACATAACCAAGAAGAAGAAGAAGAAGAAGAAGAAGAAGAAGAAGAAGAAGAAGAAGAAGAAGAAGAAGAAGAAGAAGAAGAAGAAGAAAGTAAACTTCCAATCTCAGGAGAAAGGGTTTGAGAAAAATCCTACACAATGAAAAGGTATTTAATAATCACAGAATGGTAGAATTTATATTGGAGAAATGATCATCCAGCAAAAAAATTACAGATACAATGAAATGCCAAATTAAAAAAGAAAACAAAAAACATAACATTCTTCACACAAATATGAAAGAATATACATCCTAATTTTCATATGGAACCAGAATGACTCTAGATTTTATGACAAATCCTGAGATAAAAGATGAAAACTGGAGGTATTATCATTGCTGTCTTTAAGATATCTTATAGAGCTAGAATGTTAAAAAAAAAAAAACCTAGCTAACTACCCAGGCTAATGATGTGATGTGCAGTATAAATAACTGCCACTTTACAAAACCAGCATAGCCCCTAACAGCAGCAATGACTACAAAAATGATACACACAAAGACATCACAATTTTGTGCTTATACCCATGGAAAAGTGTATTTTTCACCTCTCCTAAAGCAAACTTCTGTTTTCAACACACTGAAGGATTACAGAAAACCACAAACCATCAGAAGGCAGAGATGTGGAGCCTAGTCCCAACTGATATATTTAAAAAAATCCCCATACCTAAGGTTCAGGCAACATTGTGTAAGAGGGGCCAGAAAGATAGAAGGAGCTAGAGGGTCAGGGAGTTTGGTATGAGATTCTTTATCCTATTAATATCATAAGCTATACCCACAAGGTGTCATCTATATGACTGGCTCAATAGCCGCAGAATAAGGATGACAACAGCAACTGGCATGCCAGAGTAGACTGGGGAAACATCATGAGGCCTCAGTCCTAGAGATAAAACTGACAAGCAACTGATGAAAGCCATGATTGGGAGATATAATCTTTCTATTGAGGAGCATATTAATTGGTTATTCAATACCAAATGGTAGGCTTGTAAACACATAAGTAACATTATACATACTGAACAGGTCGTATTTTCCTATGTGGAAAAATCATAGGAATAAACACACATACATATATTTATGTGAGAACAATTCCAGAAAAAAGAAGTTATGAATTTGGAAGTGAGCACAAAGGGCATATGAGATTGTTTATGTGGGAAAAAAAGGAAGGGGAAGTGAAGTAATTCCATGATAATCTTAAAACATTGTCAGAGAGAAAGTTTCAGTCTGATACAGGCACAAAAATAGTCTTAAAGAGCAAGATAATCAAGTACAAGAGCCAAATACAAGGACTCATTACTATGGCCATGTGGACCTTAGCAAAAGGCAAAGCACCTACACTGGAGAAAAGACAGCGTCTTCAAGGATCCTGCTGAGAAAACTGGGTATCTACTTGCAGTACAATGAAGTGGGACTCACGTTATTACTTTTCACAAATATTAGATAGAAATGGATCAAAGACCTCAATCTGAATCCTGGAATACTAGAAACCCTAGAAGACAACATAGGCAGTACCTTACAAGGAACAGGTCTAAGACAGTATTTTCCAGGCAGGATTCCATTTGCGAAGGAATAGAGGCCAAAACCTGACAACTGTGACCTCATGAAACTAAAAATCTTCCATACTGCCATGGAAATAACAAATGGTGTAAATAGATATCAATAGATTGGGAGAGATTAATGGCCATAGATATATCTATCACATTCTTTCTTCTGTCAGTATTAATCCTGACCATTGTGTCAAGAAAAAGTGTCACAAAATTCTTGAGAAAACCTTAGTTAGTAAACAGTTGTTCCATTTGTTTTGAAAAGGTCAACAAACACAAAAGTGTAGCAGGAGTCTTAAAAGTTCTTATTAATAAAATCAAACCTGAACCAGGTATTGGGGTGAACTAGAAGATCAGAGAACCAGAACAAGCCACAGCTATCTCATCTTGCCAGATCCTCAGCTGGTCCTGTTTCCTCAGACTGGAGTCCTCGGAGTCCTCATCCAGAATGAGCAGCTGAACTGCTGCTCAAAAGCCTGAAAAGCTTAACCAGCCAAATGCTTAACCAGCCAAATGCTTCTAGTTTCTGGTCCTCACGCCTTATATACCTTTCTGCTTTCTACCATCACTCCCTGGGATTAAAGGCTCACTTTCTGGGATTAAAGGTGTGAGTCACCATGCCTGGCCGTTTCCAATGTGGCCTTGAACTCACAGAGATCCAAAGGGATTTCTACCTCTGGAGTGCTAGGATTAAAGGTATGAGTGCCACCATTTTCTAGCCTTTGTATCTAGTGGTTGTTCTGTCTCTGACCCTAGATAAGTTTAATAGGGTACACAATATTTTGGGGAACACAATACCACCACACAAAAGCATATCATCAATTTGAAATAAGAGTGCGAAGGGAGCCCCTGTGGAACTGGAGCATGCCCTCTGGATAAGTGAGACAGTTGATTAGCTTGAACTGTTTGGGAGGCCCCCAGGCAGTGGAGCCTGGACCTTTCCTTGGTACATGGGCTGGCTTTTTGGAGCCTGGGGTCTATGCTGGGACACTTTGTTCAGCCTTAGTGTAGGGAGGAGGAGACCGGACGTGTTTCAGCTGAGTAGACCAGGCTGGGCTGACTCCACAGGGGAGACCTTGCCTTGGAGGACATGGGAATGGGCTGTGGATTGGGAGGGAGGGCTGAGGGGTGGGAGGAGGGAGGATGGGGGAATCCGTGGCATATATGTGAAATTAAGTTAATTACAAAAAAAGAAAGAGTGCAAAGGTAATTCTTCACTTATTTTAACTCACTGGTAACAGGAAACAGGCTACATGAAGACTAAATTACCCCTCTGCTAAGATTTTTCTAATGGTCAGCCATTTTGCTTAGAAATTTTCTTATACGAATAATGTGAGTTATGCTTTTCTAAATTTGAAGAGAAGCATGAATTTGGAAGTGAGTGATGATCCAAACTCTTAGTCACAAACCGTAACCATTTCTTCAGATTTTTCCATGTGAACAATTATAAATACATTTTAAGTTTTAGTAATGTCCTATTAAGTAGTTTAAATTAATGTAATAAATTATATATTTTGTTTTTAATATTAACTACATTATTTCAAAATATCAAGAATCCAAACATTATAGAAATCAAAATTACATACAATACAGATTGTGTTTTATTTTAGTAGTTTTAGAAAAGTTATTTGTACTAGTCCTATTAAAATCTCTATGGTGTGGTTAACTTCTCTAATCCTAGAACATGGTAAGTGGGGGCAGGGGAATATGATTTCAAGGCCTAACAGTGTAGGAGGAACTGAGGTCTTGTGCTCATGAAAAGTACTAGGGAACCTGAGATGTTAACCACACGGGGTTGTTCCTTCAAAGATAGTAATGCATAACCTGTTATCATCCCAGAAGGCTTGGGTGACCTTTGAACTATCATTGTGACAGAGACCAGACCAAAGCCTC